TCTTTTACTGATTTACCGTGTTTGAAAATTTAGCTTTTGAAAGGAAGTAGCCGCAAAATTTTATAAATTTTTCATATTTTTATTAATATCTCGAAAAAAATAGAAACTATCGCAAAAGTCGTTAGAACCTTTCTGATTGAGCGTTTCAAGAGCTGTCTTTTACTGATTTACAGTGTTGAAAAATTTCTCTTTTGACAGGAAGTAGACACAAAATTTGATAAATTTTGCATATGTTCATTAATATCTCGAAAATAATAGAAACTATCGCAAAAGTCATTAGAACCTTTTTCATTGAGCGTCTCAAGATCTGTGTTTTACTGATTTACAGTGTTTGAAAATTGCTCTTTTGAAAGAAAGTAGACGCAAAATTTGATAAATTTTTCATATTTTTCTTAATATCTCGAAAAAAATAGAAACTATCGCAAAAGTCGTTAGAACCTTTTTGATTGAGCGTGTCAAGAGCTGTCTTTTACTGATTTACCGTGTTTGAAAATTTAGCTTTTGAAAGGAAGTAGACGCAAAATTTTATAAATTTTTCATATTTTTATTAATATCTCGAAAAAAATAGAAACTATCGCAAAAGTGGTTAGAACCTTTTTGATTGAGCGTCTCAAGAGCTGTCTTTTGCTGATTTACAGTGTTGGAAAATTTCTCTTTTGACAGGAAGTAGACGCAAAATTTGATAAATTTTGCATATTTTCATTAATATCTGCAAAAGAATAGAAACTACCGCATACGTAATTAGAACCATTTTGATTCAGCGTCTCAAGACCTGTCTTTCACTGATTTGCCATGTTTAAAAATTTCTCTTTTAAAGGGAAGTAGACGCAAAATTAGATAAATTTTGCATATTTTTCTTAATATCTCGAAAAAAATCAAAACTACCTCTAAAGTCATTAGAACCTTTCTGATTGAGCGTTTCAAAATCTTACTTTTACTAATCGAGTTTTACCAGAAACTCGTAATCCCAAACGAAATAAACCAAAAACTTGATTAATTTTGCAACTTTTCCTTAATGCCCCAAAAGAAGTTGAAACTACCGCTAACATCATTAAAACACTTTCGATGCAGTGTTTCAAGGACTATTTTCTTTGTTGAGCTTGGCCAGAAATTCCCCTCTCAAAGGAAATAATCCCAAATTTTGATGAATTTTTCTAAGTTTTCATTAATGTTTCAAAAACCGCCGAAAATATCGCAAAAGTCACTAAAACGTTTTCGATGGAGCAACTTGAAGGCAGTTGTCTTTTACTGAGATTGATGGGAAATTCCTAGTTTGAAAGAAGATAGACCAAAAAAATCGATCATTTCGCACGTTTTGATTGATATCTGAAAAACGGTCAAGCCACCCAAAAAGTCAATAGGACCTTTTCGGTGGGGCGATTCAAGAACTCTATTTCACTAATTGAGTGTAATTAGAAATTCGTAACCGCTAAAGAGATACACGCAAAACTACCAGTTCTTGATGCAAAGCCATGCTCTCAGCGCAAGCAAAGCGAAAATCCGGCCAAGTAGCGCCTAAATACGCAAATTTTATTCAAATCCGATTGATGGATTACATTAAGGCCCTTTTTCCTTGGCCCCCAAAAGCTCAATTTTACCCCAAAAGAGCTTTGGACTTTGGACTAATCCGCCGGTAAACTCCAGGGCAAAGAGCGCTTTAGCGGGCGATCGGTTCAAAGGGCGCCAAAAGCAGCTCGGGGCCTGGAAAAGCGCCCCACTCGCAATCGCCCACGGAAAGTTGATCAGAGCATTAAACAATCCGATGGTTAAATATTGTAAAAACTGACCTTGGCGCTTTCGGTGCTTGATGCCGCAAATCGCACAGACCGAACGCGTCACAAAACTCCACATTTTCAAATGGGCGCTCGTTGATGTGGCGTCGCGACGCCCTTCCGCATCCACTACTGGCAATCGGCCACAGGTTGCCGGGATAAATGAAAAAAGCCACGAGTTGCGTAGTGCAAATGGTATTTGTTTAGGCACTATGCAAACACCGATATGGCTATCGATTCGGCTAATACACGAAATGAAATCAAACTTCCACTTGTTTATAATCATTCGGGATAACGTCGGTTCCTTACTGCGTCTGAGGCTCCACTTCCTGCTGGCCGTGCCGCCCATGATCCGGATCTCCGCACTACCATCCCGACCGTCCACTGGAGTCACCACGATTTGCACCTACAAAAACCATTTGCTCACCACCCAAGCGCCTCATCCAACAGCAGTTACCTTGAAATCCTGCTGCTTGCCCGCTTCTGAGCTTCGCGGATCAGAACCTTGCTGAGCCATGGTCGCCCTTGGAGTGATCTTTTTCCCGAAGCTCTGGTCGCATGTCCATTAAAGGCCCCGAATAGTTTTTATCAAATAAACGTAAAAGAAATAATTTCGCTTAACTCGCGAATGGCGTGAGGTGCTTAATAGGAAAGCGATCATTAAGGCGCTCTTATCATGTCGGACGCACATAAGACGGACTAATTAATTGCGCCGGCTATTTATAGTTCTCCATTTTTTAATCAATTTCTCGCTAATTTTTCCTTAAACTCAACGGAAACTGGGATTATTGTTGATCTTTGACGCCCCGTATATTATGAGAAGCAGTTCGATTCACGCACTAAAATACCGCTCACCCTTTCTGGGTTCGTCTGTTTCTCTACAGGGTGTTGAATATGAGTTATTTGTCAACACTCTGTATATGTTTAGTGTGTTAAGAATGTTCTTGCTAGGGGTTAAAATTCAAGCAACTTTGAAAACATTTTTTAATAGTGTTTAGTCAGAAAACCGCTCTTACCTGTTGGCTGGTATTGTGAGAACCGGTTGAGCTACGAAACTCTAGTTTCCATTACGAGATAAAGAGTTAAATTGCGCACTTTTCTGTATGAAACTTTCTTGTAGAACATTTTTTAGTTTTCACGCAAAATGCGAAAGTTCAACATTAACGCGAGTCCCCAAAACCGCTCTTATTCGTTGCCTCGTATTAAAGGAACCGCTTGAGCCACGAAACTCTAGTTTTCATTGCGAGATAAACAGTTAAATTGTGCACTTTTCTATATGAAACTTTCTTGTAGAACATTTTTTAGTTTTCACGCAAAATGCGAAAGTTCAACATTAACGCGAGTCCCCAAAACCGCTCTTATTCGTTGCCTCGTATTAAAGGAACCGCTTGAGCCACAAAACTGTAGTTTTCACTGCGAGATAAAGAGTTAAATTGCGCACTTTTCTGTATGAAACTTTCTTGTAGAACATTTTTAGTTTTCACGCAAAATGCGAAAGTTCAGCATTAACGCGAGTTCCCAAAACCGCTCTTATTCGTTGCCTCGTATTAAAGGAACCGCTTGAGGCACGAAACTCTAGAGTTTTTACTGCGAGATAAAGAGTTAAATTACGCACTTTTCTATATGAAACTTTCTTGTACAAATGTTTTCAGTTTTCACGGAAAATGCGAAAATTCAACATTAACGCGAGTTTTCAGAACCGCTCTTTTTCGTTGCCTCGTATTAAAGAAACCGGTTGGGTTACGAAACTCTACTTTTCACTGCGAGATAAAGAATTCATTTGCCCACTTTTCTAAATGAAACTTTCTTGTACAAATGTTTCTAGTTTTCACGTAAAATGCGAAAATTGAACATTAACGCGAGTCTTCAGAACCGCTCTTATTCGTTGCCTCGTATTAAAGGAACCGCTTGAGCCACGAAACTGTAGTTTTCACTGCGAGATAAAGAGTTAAATTGCGCACTTTTCTGTATGAAACTTTCTTGTAGAACATTTTTTAGTTTTCACGCAAAATGCGAAAGTTCAACATTAACGCGAGTCCCCAAAACCGCTCTTATTCGTTGCCTCGTATTAAAGGAACCGCTTGAGCCACGAAACTCTAGTTTTCATTGCGAGATAAACAGTTAAATTGTGCACTTTCCTATATGAAACTTTCTTGAAGAACATTTTTTAGTTTTCACGCAAAATGCGAAAGTTCAACATTAACGCGAGTCCCCAAAACCGCTCTTATTCGTTGCCTCGTATTAAAGGAACCGCTTGAGCCACGAAACTGTAGTTTTCATTGCGAGATAAAGAGTTAAATTGTGCACTTTTCTATATGAAACTTTCTTGTAGAACATTTTTTAGTTTTCACGCAAAATGCGAAAGTTCAACATTAACGCGAGTCCCCAAAACC